TTGACGCTTTGCATATTGTACATACTCCCCACCCCCCCACAGATTCCGGCGTTTTCCTTCGGATTTTATTGTGTCTGAGACGGGGCGGGAGGTGGACGTGCGAATGTGGGCGGATTTAATATTACAGTGGACCCAAGATGGGTCTGCAGAGAAGCCTGTCATACACGGTCTCTTTATTGCCTGACCAGAAACCTCCAAAGCCCTCAAGCCCTGTTCTTTTTATGATCGCCGGGTGTGACATGAATTATTCAGAGACCGGCGGTGCAGATTGGTTTAAACTCTGCAGCCGGAGCCCTGAGACTGCGAGGTCGTTTCTGAACATCCATCACGGCTACGCCGGGCCAGGAGCCCGTCCCCGGGCCCCGGCGGCGCTGGGCGGAGAGCGCGCGGACTCCAGAAAGCTGAGCACCGCCGTCTCTTCCCCAGGGGCGGGCTCTGGCTGTTCCCCAATGAAGACCAGCTCACTGGGGTAAAGGGCCCAGGAGCTGAGAGGCTGGGCAGGAGCCCACGGACGTGACAACTTGCCAGAGGCACAGCCATGGTCGGAGGCGGCAGCGTCTGTGAGGGCTGGGAGGTAGCAAGGAGGATGCCAGGGTCTGAGGCATCCTGGGGTGCCCACCCAGCATGCTTCCCTTGCGTTTTTGTTTGGGAAGCCACTAGCCTTCCAACCAGACACCGGAGCAGGGGCTTCAGCCCAGTCCCAAGGGACAGACAGACAGACCCTGGTAGAGCTCAGCCAGTGGTCCTCACCCTGGTGGCACCTTAGGGCCACGTTGGGCGCTTTAAACAATTCACGTGCCTGGAACCCAGTCCCTAGACGTAGGGGTGTCGAACTCAATCAGAGAAGGGGCCAAAATCTAAAATCCAGCCTAAATCGCGGGCCGAATGGTTTACTGAACAGTCATAAACTGTCATTATGTGATGGAAACGCAGCGGAGTGCAGTGATGACAGCGCGGTGCGGGCCACATTGCAAGGCCTAGCGGGACGGATTTGGCCCGCGGGCCTTGTGTTTGACACATGTGCCCTAGAACCAAGAGCACGGCACAACCTTGCCCACACCTGCCAGCTCGTTAGAGAGACACTCAGGCCCCGCCAGAGAACATCATCAGGATCTGGGCTGGGAGCACAGCTGACCGAGGCCCACCTGAGCTTTTCCCCGAATTCCATATTCTTTGGTTTGTTGTTGGGTGCTTCAGGCAAGAGGAAGGAGTGGGGAGGAGGAGTTTATCACTTGAACTTGGTTGGGTTTTGCCTGCAAAGCCAACAGCCTTTGGAGTTGGACGCAGAATCCGGAGACCCTTTTATCCAACCCCCTGGTGATCCGAATGAACACGTTAGGTCTCCAGGTCCCGGAGGGGCTGTGACGGGGCTATGGCGCACCACCCTCTACCCTCCGGGGGCTGTCAGGCCTGCGGGTGGTGGCTGCTGAGCCTCACCGCCGCAGCCCAGGCTGGTCCCGGCCTGCCTGCGCCTGAGCGTGCCTGGCTGGGCTGACTCCCCTCCGCCCCACATGCGACACCTTCCCTGAAACATCCACTTGTTCGCCCACATCTGCGCCCACTCAGGACGTGGAGTGTCTGCGTCCCACAGGCTAGTTAACACCCTACGGGGCCTATTAGTTTGTGAGAAGGTGTTGGCTGAGGGTGGGATGAGAGTCAAGACTGGGCCCTAACTGGTTTGGCTCAGTGGATGACAGAGTGTTGACCTGATTCCAGCCACGGGCATGTACCTTGGTTGCGGGCACACCCCCAGTAGGAGGTGTGCAGGAGGCAGCTGGTCGATGTTTCTCTCTAATGGATGTTTCTGACGCTCTGTCCCTTTCCCTTCCTCTCTGTAAAAAAAATCAATAAAGCATAGATTTAATAATAAAATTTAAAAAAGGCAAGACTGGGAGAGCTGCAAATGGCTGTGTACTCACGGAGCGATGGCCGCGAGCGGGACAGCCGGGGAGGCACAGGGCCCCCGGGTGTGCGTGGATGGACCTGCAGTTCTTGCGGGGGGAGGCCACGGCCCTCCTCTGCCCTTTATCCACTTGTGGGGGTTCATTTTACGTGTTATCTCGTAATTTACGTGTCATCTGTGCCCAGGTGTTTGGCCCAACATGATGCTGGCTGTTTCTGTAAAGAAGTTACCTTTGGGGCGAGGTTAACATTTAAACTCGGATTGCCCTCCACAAGGCGGCGGGCCTCACCCCATCACCTGAAGGCCTGAAGAGAACAAAGACTGACTTCCCCCGGGCAGACGGCCCTCAGGCTGGAACGGGAGCCCTGCCCCGAGTCTCCAGTCCGCTGGCCTCCCCATAAGATGTTGGACTTGACGAGCCTCCGTCATCAGGTGAGCCAATTCCTTAAAATAAATCTCTCCATGCACATATCCTGCTGGTTCTGTTTCTCCGGAGAGCCAGGACACAGCATGTTTACTTAGGCAGAAAGGAGAGGTACCCACCCATCGAGGAGGGGCCTCTTCCCACGTGTGACTCCACAACATCCCCACTCAACCAGGGACACGTGTGGATATTCCCATAATTCCTCCCCTCAACCCAGTGCACAGGGACAACAGACCCTTCCTCTGAAGGCCGTCTCCTGGCGTTCAGGGATGAGGCATCACCGTGGTGAGTTGCATGTGGGAGGGAACCGACATCCCTCTGGCTGGTAACCCTCAGCCGTTTTATTCCAAAAATTCACCAGACCTTAGTGTCTGAGCCTCCCCTTCCATTTTTTGAGGGTGAAGAGAAAAAACGCTCACCCATGTACTTTTTGAAGAGCTTGAGGAAGCAAGAGATCCGAAGGTGTCCTGGGGAAGGGACCTTCACTCATGATCTCGGAGTTGAGTGCATATACTGTAATGTTTGATCCAAAACGTTCGATGGCAGAGAGGCGGCACGTAGGGCCTCGCCCTGCGATGACTTCCTAGCGGAAAGGCCACTGTGCTGGCTGCACAGACTGAGGGAGGGGCTCGGCTCCTTAGCAGCTCAGCCGCCAGGCCACGAAGGCCCACCCTAAGGCCGGCCCAGCCAACATCGCCCGGCGGGAGGGGGCTTCTGCCTCCCTCCCCTCCCCCCGCCCCGGGCACACAGACAAGCCTGGCCCAGTGACAGAGAGGGCGCCAGGGCGAGGCCAGTGCATCCTGGGAGCTGACTGCACTGGCGAAGCTGTAGGGGAGCAGATCTGCAAGCCCGCCCGTCCGGCGGGAAAAGGTCCCTCGACAGCAGGGAGAACGCGGTTTCCATGTCATTCCGTAAGCAGTAACCAAAGACCACAGCAGCCACCGCAGGTGCCAACGGAGGGAGAGCTGGGTGTAGAGTTGCTACTGCTTTACAGGCAGGAGTCACACACGAGGGCACCCTGGGGCTTTCTCCAGGAAGCTGGCTCGTGCGTTCTGGGGGTGGGGTCCTTATAAAGAGGGGGTTTGGACACCACACGTGCAGAGAAAAGACCACGTGAGGGCCTGGTTAAGAAGGTGGCCATCAGCCGAAACCGGTTTGGCTCAGTGGATAGAGCGTCGGTCTGCGGACTGAAAGGTCCCAGGTTCGATTCCGGTCAAGGGCATGTACCTTGGTTGTGGGCACATCCCCGGTAGGGGGTGTGCAGGAGGCAGCTGGTCGATGTTTCTCTCTCATCGATGTTTCTGGCTCTCTATCTCTCTCCCTTCCTCTCTGTACAAAATCAAAATATATTAAAAAAATAAAATAAAATAAAAAGGTGGCCATCAGCAAGCTGAGTTCCGATGGGAGAAGTTGCCACAGTCTGAGGGCAGAGAGGGAGGGGGACAGCACAGACGGGTGTGTTGTATGGAGAGACACGGGCGGCAGAAAGATTTAAAAGAAATGAAAGATTTCACAAGGACACTGCTGGAACCGCTGACCCCTTGATCTCAGACTCTTGGCCTCCAGAACGTGAGAGAAACGTAGGCCGTTTGAGCCACCTGGCCTGAGGCATGTTGTTACGGCAGCTGAGCAACAACAAATCACACCACTGCCATGTGGAAGGCTGCACACGTCACGTGTGCTTCTCTGCATGACCTTTCGGAGCCCACCAGGCGGCAGGGGAGCCGTGTGCCCCCAAAAACAATGCCGTCCTAGAGAGCGGGGGCAGGGGGGGAAGCAGACGGGGCCAGGCCGCCCGGCCGGGACCCCGGAGAGCCGAGGGGTGGCGCCCGCAGAGGCCTCCCACCGTGTCCCCCCCGCGAGCTTCAGGGTGGTGCCTCCCACGTCCTAGCCCAGGTTTCCCACCAGGAAAGTGGGCACCATGCCGCATTGCCTTCTGGGGCATCTACATGCCTACACAGGTCCCATACCCAGGAAGGAGACATGGCCCTCTATTAGGGTTCAATCGGCAACCCCCCAATGTTCCCGGACATCCTCAGGAGAGACGCCAGAGGGTCCCAGCCTGAAGACTCAAAATGCACCAGGTGTCAGCAAAAGCAGCCCCAGTCCCACGCCGCCTCCTGCGAGCTGCCTTCTGCGGGCGGTGCAGACATCCGTCTACGGGTTTCGATTTCGGGCCAGAAATGAGGCCACGTGAGCAGGGGCAGTGTCCCCAGGGCCTGGGACGGCGCCTGGGAATGCTCACTGTGACCAGCAAAAGTCTCGTGATCAGAGTCACTCCTTGGGGTTAAGGCATGGAAGACCCCTGTTGGATACGTCACGGAGGGGCCGTACATAGTAAGACATCACCAGCCGTTAACGCCTCTCGGTGACTTCGTCAGAGCGGCCTCAGAGCGCCCTCAGCCCCCGGGGGACCAGGATGGGCAGCTGAGTTCCAGTGGGAGGAGGAGCCACGCAGTCGGAGGGCAGAGAGGGAGGGGGACAGCACAGACGGGTGTGTTGTATGGGGAGACGTGGGCCACAAAAAGAACACAGGACTTCACAAGGATGCGGCTGGACAATGCAGAACCAGCCAGACATCAGTCACCTTTGTTCGGGGGGCCAGATCGTGAACGCGAGGGCCAGGCCCGTTGGCAGACACACACACACACACACACACACACACACACACACGTCCAGCTGGGCGTGCGGAAGGGACTTGGTGTCCCGGAGCTGGCCTTGGCCTGGGGCCACGAGGCTGGGTGTGCAGGGATGACTGCACAGCCAGACACTCACCTGCCCCAGGAAAGGGGACAGTGGCTGGAGCGATTGGCACTCAAGGGGTGGGGCTACCCCCATGCTCTCGGCCAACCCGCTGTCCGCTGGCCCCAGACTCCCGACACCACTGCGGGGCAGTTGGAGACATTCTGGGGGGAGCAGGGAGACAACAGGGCCACGTGACAACAGCTAAGCATGGAGGCGGCCTCGGCCTGTCCACCACGGGCCGGATCCAGGGCACACAGGCCGGCAGGGGAGCCCGCGAGAGGGAGGCTGTCTGGCCATCCAGGGTCCGGGCAGGGGGCGGGGGCGGAGGTGGGGGAGGAGGCCGTGTGGCTCAGCAGGGGGAGGACGACATCTGGTCGTAGTCGGGGCACTTGAGCAAGGCCGGGTAGTTGCTGTTCATGGGCAGCGAGGCGTCGCTGGAGAGGTCGGAGGGGCTGCGGCCGCGGACCCAGGCGTCGGGGTGCAGAAACTGGCCCGAGTAGTCGGAGCAGTTGCTCAGGCGCGGGCGGTAGAAGCCGGGGTGGGGCCGGTACATGTCCTCGGCGGTGTACCTCTTCATGAACAGGTACACGGACATCACCCCCGCGCTCTGTGGAGAGAGCGGGGAGCAGAGGAGAGAGCTCACCGCTGGGGGCCCGGCGCCCACCGGGCTGCAGGGCAGTGCCCCCCCGCCCCACCCAGCCTGCGGGGGCGTTACCTCCGTTAAGAGGAAGGAGATGGCGGCGAAGGCGAAGGACCAGCCGTACTTGTAGCTGAAGTAGGTGTCCGGGTCCTTGGTCCGGTTGAGCATCTCGTCGTTGATGCTGGAGATGTACAGCACCAGGCCCACCACCAGCGAGAGGCCTGGGGCAGGGCGGGCGCCGCTCAGAGAAGGGCCTCGGGGTGCGGAGGGGTTCGGGACCAGAGCCGGGGCCTCGGGGCGACAACGCACTCGCTTTGGAGGTCAGAGAGAGCAGGCGCGCTCCTCCCGCCACCCTGCTCGGCTCAGACCGTCCCCTCCCGGAAGACAGCTCCCGCCTCCGTTTGGTTTGCGAGCTTAGTTTGGGGCGGTGAACACACGATGCGATACACAGATGACGTGTGATGGAAGTGTACCCCTGAAACCCATGTCATTTCACGAACCAATGTCACCCCAATAAATTCAAATAATAATAAAATAAAATAAAAAGGAAGAAAACAAGCGCCCTGGCCGGCCGCCTCCCGAGCCACGGCAAGCCCACCGGTTCTCGCCCTCCTGCCGGCTAGGATCGCCTGTCAGACGTAGATGCCTGCCCCGCCTGTGGACACCCTGAGTCCCCTGTGGGCCTCATGGGAAGGATGGGGGAGAGCCACGGAGCCAGCAGGGGGCTCTGGCTAAGCCGAGGGATACGGCAGGCCCCCTTGGCAGAGGCAGCAGCCTCTGCTTCCTGTCTCCATTGGGGAGGAACAGCATCCTGGTGGAGGCCAAGTGGCCCCTGGTCTGCCCAGCCCACCTGAGCCCTGGTGTGGCCTGTTGAGACGGTTGGGAGAGAGTCAAGGAGCATTTGTCCAGATCCTGGCAATCATGGGGCCCAAACTCCTGGGGCCGTTGTGTCAATGGCTGCCTCAGGCACCGGGCCCATCAGTTAGTGACGGTGATCGAATCAGGACATAACTAATTACTCTGTTTTGAGCTCTTCAGGTTCAATTCCACTTATGTGATTAACCTAGGGCCTCTCGAAGGATGACTGTTCAAGGAAAGTCAACGATTCAAGACTTCCTTGGCACTTAACATGTGTTTAGGGGCCCAGGCGACCCTGTCCATTGCTATCATCACAACCACTTCCCTGGGCCCGGCTCTCCTCCCGGGGCCCGGCTCTCCTCCCGGGGCCCGGCTCTCCTCCCGCAGCCCACTGCTGGAGCATCTCAGGTGCCTCAGAGCTCCGGAGAAGCCTCAGCACCGCCAGCTTCCCAGAGAGGGCAAGAGCTTCCCCCGGGCCCTCCCTCTTGGACGAGGTGGCAGTATCACCTGCAGAGGGCGGGCTGAGCTCGCTGCAGGTGCCCGGTGAATACGTGCTGGATGGATGGGCAGACGGGCAGAGGAATGAATGGCTTCACGGATGGAAGGATGGCCTTCCCGGGGCAGAGCTGTGGAGGAGCCAGAGGCCCGGGTGCGTGGAAACAACACACTTACCCGAGAGGATGAAGAAGATGCCGGAGACAAAGGCCAGGATGGTCCTGTGGGGGCGGATGTGTCCGATGTTGCTCAGGATAAACCCGATGAACATGAAGAAGAGACTGACCAGAGGGAACGGGGTGGCCGAGCGAATCATTTCTGACGGAGGGCACAAAGGGACTCTGTCAGCCTCCAGGGGCCTTCCTCGCTGCCTACCCTCCTCAGGCGAGCCTTCCTGGCAGTGACTGCCAGCTGGGCCCCAGAGCCGCACCTGCAGGTGCTCCCCGGGCTGAGGTGGCCTGGGACCTCCCAGGGCTTTGTCCCTTAGCCCTTGGCCTGTGGAGTCTGTGCTAATCCAAGGGGAATTGTACTGCAAGTACATTCTAGAGGTCAGAACCAGCTCTGGGGGGACAAGGCCCGGAGGTCAGTCTTATTGGGGGCCAGAGGGCTTGCTTCAGTTCCCTGAGTACTATGGTCTGAATGACTGTCCCCAAATTCGTATGTGATGGCATCAAGAGGTGGGGCCTTTGGGAGGTGCTGAGGTCACGAGGGTGGGGCCCTCACACAGGGGATTAGTGCCCTTATAGAATGGAGCCCCACAGAGCTCCCTCACCCCTCCTGCCGTATGAGGACACAGCAAGCGGGCCCTCACCAGAACCGACCCTGCTGGAGCCTTGATTGTGGACTCCTGGTCTCCAGAACCAAGAGAAAGACACCTCTGATGTTTATCAGCTCCCTGGTCTGTGGTATTGTGCTCTAGCAGCCCAACCAGACTAAGATGCTGGGTACGGATGCCCTGACACTTGCCTGGGTCACAGGACTGGGACATTTCGAAACCGGTCACCACCCCTGGATCAATAATCGACGGTAAGTCCCAGTGAGCTCAGGCCGGCACCGCCCGCTGAGTCTGAGGACCTTAGCTCCGAGAAATAAGCGGCCCCCTGTCCCTCCCCTCCATCCGGCTCTGCCCGTCTGGCCAGGGCCCGGGCTGGGAAGTGGGAGGCACCTACTCAGGACGTTGACCGTGGACTCGGACGTCAGCTGGCTGTTCATGGGCATCACGTACTCTATGGTGAAGCAGCGCCCGCGCTCCTCACCTGGGAAGACGAGGATGGTTACCTCTCCGGGTCCTTCCGGGAGGCGGGTGTGCAGGACCGCCCTCCCTGGAAACCGGCGGATGCAGCGACGTTGGATCAAGGGGACCCATTCGCCTCCCGAGCCTCCATTCCCTCGTGGGCAGGGCGGGCACAGTAACCAGTCCTGCCTGGCAGTGCCGTGGGGCATGGAGATCAGGGACGCCCTGGCTCAGGCGCCGAGGGCACCTCCAGCCCTGAGCTCACCAGCCTCCCTCAGCCTGGAGGCCACATTCCCCTTCCGGGGGGGGGAGGGCCCAGGTCCCGGGAGACGAGAGGACTTGCTCAGACGGACACTACACGCCAGGCTCTGGTGGGGGTGGGTCCTGGTGGCTGCAGGGACACGGCCCGGGTTTCGGAGGATTGTCCGGGGGAACCGCCTCCTTTCGGCAGGGCCTCTCCCCACAAGGTGGGCGGAGGGCTCTGGGGCAGGCTTTCGGGCGGGGCTGCCTGCCACCTGCGCCCTTACCTGCGAGGAAGCAGACGCGCCACAGGCCCGAGTGCAGGGACATCCTGACCTCCGTGCTCTGGTTCTGGGGCAGGACCACGCCCTCCTCCAGGTACAGCCAATAGTCCGTGCTGACGGCGATGCCCAGGAGGCCCAGGCCGCACACGGCAAACACGCTGCTCAGCAGGGTCAGCGCCTTCCTCCCGCAGGCGCTCATCTTCCCGGACGGACGGACGGATGGACGGACGGATGGTCAGGTGGGCGGCCTGCGGCCTGGTCCCGCCAGCGGGAAGCGGGCTCTGGGGACAGACAGGAGAGAGGCTGGGCACTCGGGCAGGAGCAGCCAGGGCTCCGGGGAGGCCCCGATGAGGGGCCGTAGCTAAAGTGAACCCCGCCTGGCTGAGCTGGTGAGGGCAGACCAACGGGCCGGCTCTCTGGACACCAGGCCACTGGTCAGAGGCGCCACCCTTTTCCTCCCCCTGCCAGGAACTCACAGCTTTGTCGCCAGGATGCAAAGAGTTACCTTGTCCTCTGTGGGAGTCCCCCTGCTAGATAACGCCATTCATTCATTCATTCATTCATTCATTCATGGTGCCCAACATGGGAGATGAAAAGACTGTCCTTGACCTTGAAGACGTCCCACCTAGAAGGACCAAGGCACCACAAAGCAGTGCATGCAGCTCGACGGGGGATCTGCCCGAGAGCTCTGGCACAGGAGGAGGGGTGAGGGTGAGCTGTGCTGGGGCTTCTCGTGTGGAGGACTCCGGGGGTCCCGGCACCCCGGCAGAGCCGCGGCCGCAGCCTCGGGGACGGGCAGAGGGCAGGGCAGGCTTCTGGGGAAGGCGCCTGCCTCCTGGGCTGTGAGCAGGGACAGTTCTGGGTCGGTGGCCGGCAAACTCATGAGTCCACGGAGCCAAACATCAACAGCGCAACGATTGAGATTTCTTTTGAGAGCCACATTTTTTTAAAAAACTTAAACTCTACAGGTAGGCACATGGTTATTAACGTAATGAGGGTACGGGGTATTTTGTGGAAGAGCCACACTCAAGGGGCCAAAGAGCCGCATGTGGCTCGCGAGCCGCAGTTTGCCGACCACTGTTCTAGGTTAACGAAGGTAAAGGAGCCACAGCACAGTCCAAGGTCAAGGGGCTGCCTACACCCACCGCGTGAGGAGCCGTCTGACTCTTGCCTGCTCGGTATCGGCAGGAGCCGGCTCTGAGCCAGCCAGAGAGACCTCCCGGGTCTGTTCACACCTGCGGATCCCTTCCAGCGCCAGGCACGGGGCTCGGAGCGGGGAGGCCGAGGAATAAGGCAGATGGATGCTGACCTGCGCCCCCTCCCTCCCCATTCCCCCACAGAGCCCACAGCCCCGCGCGGGGCTCTGAACACTGACCGCCGGAGAATCACCAGGGAGCGCCCGGCAACGCCCGCCTGGGCCCTGGGCGCCCCTCCCAGCCACCCGGGTGCCGCCGGGCTCAAACGAGGGTGACGCGCTTTCCGAGGGCTCCCGGGACCCTGACGCGCGGCCCAGGCGGTGACCTCGCCGGGCCACAGCATCACCCGGGAGCTGGTTAGACATGCGGCCGCTTTGTAACTAGAATCCGCGATGTAACAAGATCCAGGTGAGCGTGCACCTGCTCAGGTCTCAGAACCCTGCCAAGCAGGGAAGCCAGGACCTGAGGAGCCCAGAGGGAGGTCTCCGAGGGGCGGCTGGAGGGGACGGGCAGAGGGAGGGGCCTGGGCGCTCGGCGCGCCTCACCTAAGCAGCCACAGTGCCGGAGCGTCGACCCTTCGCCATGACGCACAGCCGGGAATGCTGAGACAGGACGCGGATGTTCCTGAGCGGCGGTGCCAGCAGCTGAGCCGGGAGACGGAGACACCGGTGGTGACCAGGGGTGACGCCTCGGCTGAGGCACAGGCGCACCCTGGCTGAGCCAGCGGGAAAGGGACAGAAGCCACATTCGCGTGGGAAGCGCTGCCTCTGGGCCTTGGAGAATCTCACCGCACAGTCGTAGGTTCAAGCCCCGGGGAGTGCGTTTAGCTGCACTCATTCCGGTGTTTCCCAAGCGTGTCTGCCCACACAGTGGCGTCTGGTTCTGCGGACCCATTAGGGAACGAGGCTGTCCCCCACGAAGAATGACAGGGCCTGCCCTGCCCCCCCTCCCTCCCCGCCCCCCCAAAGCTGCTGGGAGATGACATGGCACAGCAGCCAGGCCAGGGCTTGGGAAATGGCCAGCCCGGCGCTGGCGGAAGGCTTGTTAGTCGGCAGCGGTGGGCAGATAAGCCCGCGTTCCTGTAAGGCGGCCGGATCGGGCTTCTGAAAAATGACAGCCAGCGACCGGCCGGAGCTGAGCGCCGATTGTAATGATAATCTTGGCAGCGAGAAAATAAAAACCTTGGCTCTTGCGGGCTTGGGGAGATGAAAGTGGAGAGGAGATTGGATCTGAATCCCCAAACGCAAGAAATAAAAGCAGCGGCCGGAGATGACCCGCCGGGCTCTGTCACGGCCCAGCACGAAGCTGGAGGGAGCTTGGGGAAGGGGACAGTCCCAGCGTGGGTGGCACACTCGGAACTCGGCCCGGAGGGAACAGTAACACCCCGACGTGTCGTTATGCTATTGCGAGATAATTACTTACGAATAAATAACGCCAGGGCCTCACAACACCCCTGTAGGTGGGTAGAGGTAGCCCCCTCTGTGGATCGGGAAGTGGAGGCTCAGGGACGGTGAGTAGCCTGCAGGACAGTCCCAGGTGCTGGCAGACGGTGGACTGAAGCCTAGGTCTCGTCCCACAGTGCGTGCCCTGGCCCCACCACCGCCCACGGAAGACATAAACGGTGCCGGAGGTGTGGGGTGCAGTGACACATCTCCGGGGCTCATAGGGGATCTAGAACCGTGTGTGATGCAATAGCGGGAAGACGGTCTTTGTAAACGGCCAGGGGTCACCGAAGGGCTGTTTCTTTCTTTTTGTTTTGTCAGTCCTCATCGGAGGGTATTTTTCCCCCCATTGCTTTTCTGAGAGAGTAGAAGGAAGGGAAAGGGTGGGGGGGAGAGAGAGAAGGAGAGAGAGCGGGAGAAGGAGAGAGAAAGGGAGACGGAGAGAGAAAGGGAGAGAGGGATGGAAAGAGAGATAGAGATAAAGATAGAGAGATAAAGAGTGAAAGGGAGAGAGACACATCGACTGGTTGCCTCCCACAGGCACCCCCACTGGGGCAGGGAGTAAACCCTAAACCCAGGTGTGTGCCCTGGACCAGGAATCAAACCCGAGACCCTCGGGTGCATAGGTCAGCGCTCTAACCACTGAGCATCCCCGGCCAAAGCGAAGGGCTGTTTCTCGATCCTCCTGGGCTTCCTCTGGGCGGTCCCCGGCCCAGATCCTCTCCCGCGCCTCCCGGAGGTGCTCTCCGGCTCGGCATTCCTGATCCGAAAACCACCCTGCAGGGCGGGAAGGCTCCCATTTCTCCCAGACCACACGCAGGAACGCCCGGGTCCAGAGGGAAGAAGGGCCCACGGAGGGACAAGAGTGTGAGCGGGTCCCGTGTGGGTGCTGGACCCGTGGGTTTCTCCCTGCGCCGCGGGGAGAGGCATCAGGCAGCGATGACCGGGACCTGCCCGGCCCCATGCTGCAAACCCCGCTCCTGGCATCTTCATCCACCGCCTTCCTGACTTTCTTCCGATGTAACTGCATCCGTGGCTCCCCTCCACCCTGCCCCCCGCCAGTGTCTTCCGCCGGTGGGAGCAGGGATGGGAGCCCCTTGGAGACGCCGACTGGTCTGGGGTGAATTTCTAGTTCCCACATCATGAGGCTTCGGTCCACGTCTTTGCCTTTACGTGGCTGCTTCTTCCCCCACAAGCGCCATCCGTAAGGTGACCCAGGCGTTTTAAAAACGTCCCGATTTTAAAAAAAATTGTTAAAAATCGGGACTGTCCCGCCAAAGGGGTCGCCTTACCCATCCGCCATCTACCAGGTTCATGTGGACTTTCTGACGGGGAAGACAGGCAGGTGCTGTTTAGACGTTGCTGTCACCAGAGCAGATGTTCACGGGACACGTAATAACACACGAGCGAAGCCGGAGGGAAAGCCACGTGTCTCACAGGAACCCCGCTGGGGAAAAGCCGGTAAACCAGAGCGTGGACGGTGGTGGACGCTTCCAGGTCACGGATATTTGATTTTCTTTATCACATTCCTGTGCTTGGCAAAGCCACTAAGAAAACGTATTATTTCTATACCCGGAGAGGAGAACAAAGAAGAGAGCCATCAATTCAGGGATCTGCTGCCCTCAGGCGGGTACGGGGCCCAGGCTCACCCGGGGGCGGGAGCTGCTGAGAGGCGGTGTTATCCTGGGGCGTGGGGCCGAGAAGGGAAAACATGGCAGCTTTGAGCCTTTTTTTTTTTTTTTTTAACATATATATATTTTATTGATTTTTTACAAGAGAAAGAGGGAGGGATAGAGAGTTAGAAACACTGATGAGAGATAATCATCGATCAGCTGCCTCTTGCACATCCCCCACTGGGGATGTGCCCGCAACCAAGATACATTCCCTTTACCGGAACCGAACCTGGGACCCTTCAGTCCACAGGCTGATGCTCTATCCACTGAGCCAAACCGGTTTCGGCGCAGCTTTGAGCCTTTTTGATTACCCGGGTACATTACCTCCACATATTAGCTTGCTAATGACCAGGAATTAACAGTTGCTAATTATCACCTGAGACTAGCAATTACAGAGAAAGGTCTCATGGAGAATTAAGTCAAGACTGCACGTTTCCCTGCCCCGAGCCAGTAACCAGAGGCCTTCAGTGAGGTGCCTCTCTGCTCAGTGGCAGGGGAGGGTGCTGGTGTGCGTGGGAGCCCAGTGACGGGGCTGGACAGTAGTTGAACTGGAGAGAAGGAGAAAGAGGAAGGACAGTCCAACGCAGAACGCTGACCTCAGCTTCCTACGGGCCCGGAGAAACCTGCTCCTGTGAGCTGGTTGGTCTAGGGCACATGTGTCAAACACAAGGCCCGCGGGCCAAATCCGTCCTGCCAGGCCTTGCAATGTGGCCCACACCGCGCTGTCATCACTGCACTCCACTGCGTTTCCATCACAATGACAGTTTATGACTGTTCAGTAAACCATTCGGCCCGCGATTTAGGCTGGATTTTAGATTTTGGCCCCTTCTCTGATTGAGTTCGACACCCCTAGTCTAGGGACTCAGCATCAGCCTGGCCAGCTCCCAGCAGGACAAGCCGGGGACCGTCAGCCCCCAGTGGTCATGTGGCCCTGCCTGCTGTCCACCGTGCTGAAAGCCGTTGCATTCTG